CACAGCTTCCTTTGTCCTGCTAATGTTGCTAAAGTGTCTCAGATGAGAGGCCACCCTTACCCTCCCACTAGAAGTTAAGAAAACCGAAGCTGTTCAGTCATCCCCTTGGAGGGAAGCCAGGCCATGAGGTGGATTCCATGGGCAGCTAAGCCCTATGGCTTCCTTGTATTCCCCCAACCTGCTGAGGGTTTGATCCTTTATAAAAGACCCTCTGGTAATAGTGTGTCCCTGTGGGCCTCCCCTCAGGTCGGAGAGATTCATATTCTCCAGTAGAGAAGAATGCCTCCTTCCTGAAACAGAGCTCCAGAAAGACAGGTTACACCTAGTCCTCTTCTGCAGCCTCCCCTCACCTAGGTGCTGCTAGCACCAAACCAGGAAGAAATATAGATACTGGCTGATGACAGAAATGACAAGATCCTGCCCTCTTCCCCAGACCTACTATAAAAGATTAAGGAGACCAGCAGTTAGCATAATGGCTATGGCATTGGACTCCCATGTAGTTGACCACGATTCGAGTCCCAGACCCGGTGGCTTAAACCTACGCCAGGCACATGTGCATGCATGCCCAAGATCCCGAGAGGAGAATGGAGGAGAAGGGATTGCGGTGTGGCCATCCCCCTGGGGGGTGATTTCTCGTTTTCTGTCTCTCTGTCTTTCTGGCAAGTGCACGCGCCCTATAGCAAAAACTTCTCAAAAAAAAAAAGATTCAGTAAAGCTTGTCCTTTGGCTCATAAGAACTGCAATGACATTATCTCCAACTAAAGAGCACTTGGTCTTAATGTGTTCAAGGAGCCAACTGGTGGTGTGGTGGTTGAGACAGCTGTATCTCACATGGCCAACTCCCTGGTTCAGGTCTCAGACCCAGCTGCTTGGAAATCCTACAAAGAGAACAGAGAAGAAGGGATTGTAGTGTATCCCCACTGGGCGATGATTTTTCACTTTCCCTCTCTCTCTTCCAACCCCGACACCCACATATAAGCACCCTATAGCAAATTTTAAAAAAGAAGAAGAAAGAGGGACCAGCAGTTGGCGTAGGCTATGTCACTAGACTCCCATGTAGTCGACTGCGGTTCGAGTCCCGGACTCGGTGGCTTAAACTCACGCCGGGC